GGTTGCCCCCCAAGAAAGCTACTGCACGTCCTGCAAGTCGCCAACCCACCTCATGACCTAGCCGCCCATCGAAGTGAATTCTGTCTCGTTGAAAACCACCTCACCTATGCACCTCCCTGTTTATTTCCACCACCTCAAAGCCTTTCTCTCAACTCACCGCCATATCTCTTGGTTTGCGTTGACAACCGCTCTTTGCAGGTTGCTATCACGCACCGGTACCTCCGTTATCGTGCATATCACTACCTGTATTTTAGGAAAAGTGGCGCGCATGTAATCGATGCCTTTCGCCAGTGTGGTTGCTAGTCCTGCTGTATCTTCATTCAAGACATCGTTTAAACCGCCTGAAATTATCACGAGGTTTCGTCTATCAGCTGTAGCTTTGAGTTTTGCGCTCGCTTGCCTCATGACTGCTTCGAGCTTGCGTCCTGGGAACGCCCCTACTGTAACCCTCTTGTCACCTCTTACCCTCTCTTGGATGGCTTCTGTGCATCGATTTAAATTCGAGTCCCCGGCGATTATCACATGCTGTGACTTTTCAGCTGGAGCGTCCTGCATCTGGGGGCTACTTGCGCCTGTGACGCCGGCTGCTTTGTCCCCTCCCAGCCCCACCACTACCTCGCTGAAGCTGGGCCTTGCGACAATTGAACCGGCTAAACCTGTTTTTTCCAAACTTGCTTGCTCTTCCTTCTCCACCGTTCTGGTTGCCGGTTCCCTACTGTTCTCTCCATAGGCCGCTTCTTTGTTCAGCTTCGCTAGTGCTTTCTCGGCGGACTTCAGTCTTTCTCCCATTGCCCTCGTTTTCTCTTGCTCTGTCGCCAACGCAGTCTCGAGCTTGGCGACTCTCATCAGCAGTTCACTCTGGGCAGCCATCATTTTCTTCATTTTTTCCTCGACCTCACATTGTCTACACTTCGCGTCAGCCTCTTCTCCATCCGCTTCTACGCTTCGGTCCACTTTCAAACCTACTCCACATCCTGAACACTTTACAGTCTTTTTAACCATATCTGACACCAATTGTCCCTATACTCGATAATTGCTAAACTCGAGCCCTGCACTACGAAAAAAAAGAAAGTCTATGCTCTACTACAAAAATTTCCGTGTTCAATGTACGCGCACCTCCCCAATGGGGTGGCAAAAGAAAAAAAACAACAAAAAATATAAACACACACACCCGCACTAATAAATACCTGGAGACTGGCCCCCGAAAAAGCCGTACCATGAAATAAGTGCTACAAAGATTTCAACCACTGCCTTATAATTATAAAGACAAGCTCAAAACATGCAAAAACACTTATCTGCGCAGTCGATCCGGAGCGCTCAAAAAACACGTCCATCCACCATGACAGCCCGAACCCGCGCCGTTGCATGCAGCGTCCCAAGTGGCATCGGCGCGCTTTGGGGACCGGTTTCGGCAGCCGCTTTTCACACCTCCCAATTCTAGCCACCCTAGCGTCGCAATTAGACTAGGATTCTAGTCACCCTAATTGGACTTTTCCTTCCTTCCTCCGTTGGAGTGTACTAAAAGTGTTGAGTGGCGTGACCGCGCCTCGCTGCCTGATCCCTTCCGCCACGGAGCAAGAAGTATGCTTTCCGCGCTGCCTGCAGCGGCGGCGCTGCAGTCGAATAGGGAAGACTGCAGGCATAGATAGAGGATGAGGGGGTGCTGGGGGAACTGCAGAATGGGTTTCGGAAACACGGGAGGTTGGAAGACAATCTTAATCTGGAACACTGGACACACTAGGCGTGGAATGTAGTCACTAATCTTTTAAAGGATATCTATAAAGGTAACAAGGTAGTTATAAAGTGGAAAAAACAGGTATCCAAGTCTGCAGAGGTAAAACGGGGGCTTAGGCAGGGGTGTCCTCTGTCACCCTTATTATTCAAGATGTACCTACAAGGATTAGAGGCTAAATTAGAGAAAAGTGGACTGGGCTTCAATCTCTCTTTCGTCAAACAAGGAAAACTCATACTGAACAGGCACTACCAGCATTGATATACGCAGATGATATAGTACTAATGGCCGACAACAAGGAAGATTTGCAGAGATTGGTGGACATCTGCGGTAATGAAGGAAATAGGTTATATTTCAGATTCAGTAAGGAAAAATCAGCAGTCATGATATTTAATGACAATGAAGGTAGTGAGCTTAGAATACAAGAGGTCACGCTAGAGATAACAGATAAATACAAATATCTGGGCGTATGGATAAGCAATGGGACCGAGTACCTAAAGGAACACGAAATATACGTGACGACTAAAGGTAACAGGAATGCAGCAGTGATGAAAAATAGGGCACTGTGGAATTACAATAGGTATGATGTTGTGAGAGGCATATGGAAAGGGGTCATGGTTCCTGGGCTGACGTTCGGCAATGCGGTCTTGTGCATGAGATCAGAAGTTCAAGCGAGATTAGAAATTAAGCAACGTGGAATAGGTAGGCCTGCTTTAGGAGCTCACTGGAATGCACCAAATCAGGGAGTACAAGAAGATGATATGGGATGGACATCATTTGAGGGCAGGGAAGCTAGCAGCAAGATAAAATTTGAGAAGCGATTGAGAGAAATGGGGGAGGAGCGTTGGGCTAGGAAAGTTTTCAGCTACTTGTACGTGAAGAATGTCGATACAAAATGGAGGAAGCGAACCAGAAAATTGACTTGTAAATACTTAGAAAACAGCAGGTGACCAAACCAAAAAGAACTGTCGGTTAAGAAGAAAGTGAAGGAAACGGAGACTGACATGTGGAGAATGGGCATGATTAAGAAGTACGCACTAGAGATCTATCGAACTTTTAAGCAGGAAATTGCCAAGGAAAGGATCTATGATAATACTCGGGGTAGTTCTCTACTGTTTGAGGCCAGGACGGGAGTACTGCGAACCAAGACATATCGGGCCAAATACGAAGGGGTAGGCACAGTATGCAGTGCGTGTGGAGAGGAAGAAGAAACTACCGAACACTTGATAATGTTCTGTAAAGGGCTTCACTGTATAGTTCAGGATGATGGCGCAGAGTTTTTCAAAGCACTGGGGTTTAGGGACCGGGAGGGCAAAATAGACTTTAAGCGAGTAGACTTAACTAGAAGGAGGTTACCTGATTGGTGGCTAAAGTCAAGGCACGAGTGAAAATTAAACCCTTCACTGCAAAGTGCGAATCCTCAAACTCACTTTTTAAAGAAAAAAAATAAATCTAGTTTTTGTTCATTAAGTATTACGGCTTGGTGGCACTAGCCAGCACCCGATCTAAAGGGTACAGCCATAGCCATTCATCCATCCATCCATCCATTGGGTAACGTTGCGGAGGTGACAAACGAGACAGCACGCGCCGCTCTCCACAAAAATTGCTCCCACGCTGTGTGGTGGTGACCTGTTTTCGGTAAAATCATTTTGGTCGAGCAAGTGTGGGGCAGTACATGGCAACTAAGCTCTTTAAAATCTCATCTCTGAAAACCATTCTTGAAAAGGCCTTGATATGTTTAGTTTAACATCCCAAAACCACCATATGATTATGAGAGACACCGTAGTAGAGGGCTCCGGAAATTTTGACCACCTGGAGTTCTTTATCGATTATATTCAAAGATCAGACGTTTGAATCAATGTGCCCGCGCCTCGTATTTATAATTGACATGTCATAAAGCATTCATTAAACATGATTGTAGTACCATAATTCATTTTGCCAAGATAAACGTAAACCGAAGTGTTTGTCTCTCTGGGCACGAATAATTAAATGCAGATTTTACCTATTCATAAAAGCCTTTAGGATGAACATTGTCCTACACGCTACCTTATTTATTAACCACCTTAAACCACGAAGAAATGGACACTTTGTTCTTTCTTCTGCCATTGAGAACTTCCTATTAATCTATTTGAATATTGCAAGAAACGTCGCTACGATTGGCTGTCTTGCGCATTTTTTAAATAATTCTTATTACTGTATTGCATCTTCTACTTTGATGTCTGTGTGTATCAGTGTATAGTTTTGATCCTGATGATTTCTGACACTTCGTTATAATATTACATGTAATCATTTCTTACGATTAATTCCCAACTATAACGCTGTAGATATATATAATTTTAAACGATCAAAATCGTCACGTTAGATGCTTCGTCCAGTTAATTCACTTTCCCGAATAGTAGATCTCCCAGAATTTTGATCACTCTACTTATTGATTTTTGCTTTTAATGTTCGTGCCAAGTTATGATACATATGTATTCCCTTGATTTATATTTGTGGAGATTTCTTTTATAACTTTTGTATTTGTATTTGGTGCCAATTTATACTGATAAAGTTAATTTTTTTATTCTACGTGTATGAATGTCTGTCGTGTATGGCTGCTTTGCCAACTTGTGACTGGGTCAGTACTTTGTCCATCTCTCAAGATTTTAGTACCGTGCTCCTCGACCTATTGAAAGAAAAGAAATGAAGTCTCTGACCAAAACAACTATAACTAATTTAGGTGAATTAAACTAGCAAATTTTGCACAAGATGCCGGACGGAGAACACAGTGGCCTAATGTGCACCGGAGAGTTGCGTGTGATTGCTTATTCAACGAGGTACATGTTAAATCTATTTCTCATTGTTACAGAAAGCCGAAGAATTATTGATCACTCTACTTGTTGATTTTTGCTTTTAATGTTCGTGCCAAGTTATGATACATATGTATTCCCTTGCTTTATATTTGTGGAGATTTCTTTTATAACTTTTGTATTTGTACTTGGTGCCAATTTATACTGATAAAGTTAATTTTTTTATTCTACGTGTATGAATGTCTGTCGTGTATGGCTGCTTTGCCAACTTGTGACTGGGTCAGTACTTTGTCCATCTCTCAAGCTTTTAGTACCGTGCTCCTCGACCTATTGAAAGAAAAGAAATGAAGTCTTTGACCAAAACAACTATAACTAATTTAGGTGAATTAAACTAGCAAATTTTGCACAAGATGCCGGACGGAGAACACAGTGGCCTAATGTGCACCGGAGAGTTACGTCAGTCGCGGGGTTTGTATGCATGCTCTCAAGCTACTGCCAGTTGCGCATGCGCCGAGAGATAGCGTGTGTACATATACTGTCCACAGTATCTGGAGGGTGTTATTCTGTTTTGTACTGCTTGTGTTGAGGCTGGCAGTGTGCGCCTCAGTAATAAAGATGTGATACCATGTGCCCGGTGTCGGGATATAACAACTGGCGACGAGGATGGGATCCGCCGCAGGCTTCTAGGAATCCCACTCTAACCAGCTTGAACTGAGTATGGCGACCACTGTCGGTAAGTTACCCGAGTTCCAACAAGAGGACGGTAACTTCGAGGTATACCTGGAGCGGTTCGAAGTATTTGCCGCGGCCAATGACATCGCGGAAGACAAGAAGCTTGCAATCTTTCTCACGGCTATAGGTGAGAAGGCCTACGTCACGCTTCGGAGCTTGCTGCTGCCTAAAACACCAGCTAAGACGTCATTCACGGAAGTGTTTGACGTTCTGAAGAAGCATTACGCTCCCAAGCGCTCCGTGGTCACCGAAAGGTATCGTTTTCACCAGCGAAAGCAAGAGCCGCATGAGACTGTCGCAGACTTTAGAGTCGAATTGAAGAAACTCGCGGCAACATGCGAATTCGGTGCCTTTTTGACCGAAGCATTGCGTGACTGGCTCGTCGCTGGAATACGTACCGAGGGAGTACGGTGCAGGCTATTGGCAATGCCAGACGAGGAAGTAACGTGGGAACGTGCATGCAGCATAGCCATGGCCATGGAAGCGGCAACACAAGACACGAAAGAAATGCTGCAAACCAGTTCTAAAGGAGCAGCTGTAGAAACGAAGGACATCTACTGGCAACGGAAAATCTCACAACCGAGTAAAGCACCTTCGAGGGAAGCGCCGACGCAGTCCAGCTGGGACAAGGAAAATGGGGCAGCGAAAGAACAAACGAAAAGAATGTGTCATCGTTGCGGAGGACAGCATTCACCCGTGAGGTGCCGATTTCTGAACAGTACCTGTTATAGGTGTACAAAAAGGGGTCATGTTGCTAAAATGTGCAAATCTAAGCTTGTAAATAGAGTAGAGAGCGAAGAATGCGAGAAAGAAAATACTAACGAACTGCTATCTCTGTATAATACGAACCACAAAGAAGGTATGCCCGCCATTGTAATCAAGGTTTGCATAAATGATAAAGTGATACCCATGGAACTTGACACGGGCGCAGCGGTGTCAATAATGTCAGAAACAGAGTGTGCTAAACACTTCCCAAACGCCTCTTGCAGGCAAGCAAATGTCAAACTAGCCACGTACAATGGCACGACGGTCCCTACTGTTGGTATTATGGATGTAAAGGTGCAATACCAAGACCAGTGTTTCGAACTGCCACTTGTCATAGCGAAAGAAACGCAGGGTGCTAGAATGCCCACGTTGTTTGGCCGAGATTGGCTTTCTAAAATCAAAATAAATTGGCAGGAAGTATTTTCAGTAAATGTGGTGGCTAAGGCGGCATTGCTTGCTGAGAAATTTCCCGAAGTGTTTGGCGAGGGTTTTGGTACAATTAAGGGATTCGAATGCAGCATTGAATTGAAGGATGACGCGCGCGCTGTCTTTATGAAAGCGCAACCAGTGCCATACGCTTTGCGCGAGTGCGTTGAACAAGAATTGGTCAATCTAGAAAAAGCTGGAGTCATATATAAGGTCAGACATAGTCCATGGGCAACGCCTCTTCTGATTGTTCCAAAGAAGAACACTCAAGAACTGAGATTATGTGGCGACTATCGCGTCACAGTAAACCCAGCCATCAAGGTCGATCAGTATCCCTTGCCACTTCCTGAAGACATATTCGCAAATCTTCAGGGTGGAACTGTGTTTTCTATCATAGACCTCTCAAAAGCGTACTTGCAACTCGAACTAAACAAACAAGCGCAAGAACTGCTCACTATTAACACCCACCTAGGTCTGTTTAGATTCCGCCGCTTGCCGTATGGCGTAGCGTGCGCACCAGCTATTTTCCAGGCGGTCATGGACCAGATACTGCGTAATCTGCCTGGAACCGCGTGCTACATTGATGATGTAGTCATCGCTGGTGAGAACGACGGGCAGTGTTATGAAAGGGTGGAGCAAGTTCTTCAACGCCTAAGTAAACACGGCGTAAAAGTGAACGCAAGGAAATGCAGCTTCTTTCAGCAACGCGTCACATACTTGGGACACGAGATCGACAAGCACGGCTTACACCCAACAGCGGAAAAAGTTGAAGCTATCAGAAAAGCGCCAAGGCCCACTAACGTGAGTCAGTTGAAGGCCTTTTTAGGTTTGATTAATTACTACGGAAAATTTTTGCCAAATTTAGCATCGATCTTGGAACCACTGCACAACTTGTTGCGAAAAGAAACTGCATGGCACTGGTCACGCGAATGTAATGAAGCATTCGAAAGATGCAAATAACTGTTGACTGATAAGACTGTGTTGCAGTTGTATGACGTAAAAAAAGAAATCTGGATCACATGTGATGCTTCTGATTACGGGTTAGGGGCTGTGCTATCACACTTGGTGAACGGTGAGGAAAAGCCGGTTTCTTTTGCTTCGCGGTCATTATCAGCGGCCGAACGTAACTATGGGCAGATTGAGAAAGAAGCACTTAGTATTGTGTTTGCTGTAAAAAAATTTCATAAGTACCTTTACGGACGGCCCTTTAACATAATAACAGATCACCAACCTCTGACAATTTTGTTTGACCCTAAACGGCAGGGCAGTGCAGTAGCCACGGCACGAGTGCATCGTTGGCTGACATTTTTGGCCGACTACACCTATAGAATCAAACACAAACCAGGATCAGCTATCCAGCATGCAGACGCATTGTCCCGTTTACCGTTACCTGACACAGGTAGCAAGTGCGAAGAAATCTTCTACTTTTCAGCACTAAACGACTTGCCTTTAACGTCAAATGATGTCAGTCGAGAAACAGGATGCGATAAAGTGCTGAGGGCTGTACGCGACATGATCTGGCATGGAGGGCCCAAGACCGTGTCGGAGCAGCTAAAGCCGTTCTGGGTACGCCGGCTCGAGCTCAGTGTAGACAACGGGTGCGTTATATGGACAAACAGAGTGGTAGTACCGGAATCATCGCACAAGAATGTTTTGCAGTTGCTGCACGAGCAGCACTTAGGTATAACCCGAATGAAAGCATTAGCGAGGTCAGTAGTATGGGGGCCGGGAATGGACAAAGCCCTCGAAAACACAGTGCGCAAATGTGCAATATGCCAAACGGTTCTCCCTGCAGCTCAACCCGTACCCTTGTCCTCGTGGCAAATATGCCAGAATCCGTGGGAGCGTGTGCATTTAGACTTCGCTGAAGAAAAGGGAAGGATGTTTCTCCTCGCTATCGACACCTATTCCAAATGGCTTGAAATTAAGATAATGAGTGTAACCACCGCGGCGAAGACCGTTGAAGTAGTGCGTTCATGGTTCGCGGCGCATGGCCTTCCGCTGGAGGTAGTGACGGACAACGGGCCGCAGTTTCGGGCAACTGAGTTCAAAGAATTCCTTCAAGCTAATGGTGTGAGGCACACACTAACGCCGCCGTACCATCCGCAGTCTAACGGTGCGGCGGAGCGCGCAGTTCAGACAACAAAAAAAGCACTGCTCCAACAAGTGCTAGAAGACTCGGAAAAGGGCACAAACAGAACACTGCAACACAGGATAGATAACTTCGTGTTTTGTTATCGAACCACACCTCACACTTTCACGGGAAGAACCCCTGCTGAATTATTTGTGAGAAGGAAGCTGGGGACCCGATTGTCGCTGCTGCGCCCGGACGTAACAAATCAGATGAGAGCTAAGACCGCAGAAATAAAAGTCTGCTGACAGGCTCCGAGGTTCACCTCGAGTGTTTGCTGTTGGTGATCGTGTACTGGTGCGTTCTGTGCGTGGGCAACTTGTGAACTGGTGGCCTGGAGAAGTGACGTGTGTGAAATCTTCTTCGACGTATTTAGTGTATGTGCGAAACAAAGTGCGGTTTGTGCACGCGGACCACTTGCGACCATCGGACATCGAACCGACGGCACAACAGGACCCACCACCGGAAGTGGAACTACCACATGCATCGGACATCACAAATGCTACATCGACGACCAACCAAAGCTCAGATTCGTCGTCACCCACGAGACTCTCACTTCCCGAAAATCGTGAGCAGCCGGTTCCCTTACGACGTAGCACAAGGCAAGGGCGCCCACCTGAGCGCCTGACTTATGATAGTTTCTAAAATTGTGCGTGAAGGAAGTGTTGTGACGTCAGTCGCGGGGTTTGTATGCATGCTCTCAAGCTACTGCCAGTTGCGCATGCGCCGAGAGATAGCGTGTGTACATATACTGTCCACAGTATCTGGAGGGTGTTATTCTGTTTTGTACTGCTTGTGTTGAGGTTGGCAGTGTGCGCCTCAATAATAAAGATGTGATACCATGTGCCCGGTGTCGGGATATAACAGTACTTGGTGCCAATTTATACTGATAAAGTTAATTTTTTTATTCTACGTGTATGAATGTCTGTCGTGTATGGCTGATTTGCCAACTTGTGACTGGGTCAGTACTTTGTCCATCTCTCAAGCTTTTAGTACCGTGCTCCTCGACCTATTGAAAGAAAAGAAATGAAGTCTCTGACCAAAACAACTATAACTAATTTAGGTGAATTAAACTAGCAAATTTTGCACAAGATGCCGGACGGAGAACACAGTGGCCTAATGTGCACCGGAGAGTTGCGTGTGATTGCTTATTCAACGAGGTACATGTTAAATCTATTTCTCGTTGTTACAGAAAGCCGAAAAATTATTTTACCGTCAACCTTCTCCGCAAATATATGATCACTGACCTAAAAAAAAATTACAGTAATTCTGGCAGCCTGCATCTGCTAGCGGACCGTACTTGCAGGTATTTGCAGTGTAAAATATTTATAGTGTAAATAAGTTTTGCGCCTTTAACCTACACAGGGTCCGCTTGAATTGCAACTGTTTATGGAAACGTGAGCCTTGCTTTTCCAGGTACTGAAAACTTAGTGCTCCTCGACCTGTACTATCAGCAGAAGCAAATTTTATTTTGGAAACATAACTGATAAATAGTGTTACCGTGTTGCAGGAATGACTTGCTGACAACTACATTTCGCACAATTTAAGCAGCAGCTCCATTTCTACATGTATAACGACTGCGTCAAATACTAATTGCAGAAGTAACGTGCTACACCAGCAACGGTATACTTATAACGCGTAACCACCAACACTGCGAAACAAGGCGGGCGTTTTTGCACTCATGACGATTATTACGAAGTACCAAATTTCTAACATCGTAGCTTGCCACATAATATACAGGGCGACCATTCACCGCTCAGCGGTGCAGGAGTCATGGGCGAAAGACCCTGCTAGTGCATGAGATGGAAGTCTTTCGTAGTCTTCGTCATTTTATTCCATCTGATGCAGCAGTTTTTCTACAGACAGAGCGACTCTTCCACTAAGCGATCCACGTTGCCACCCTTGGGACTCTTCAAGAGGCTGAACTGAAGCATTAAGTCTTGCGGACAAGCGTAATGCAGCGACGCTGGATCTACTTTTTTTTTTTGTCGTTGACGCCTTCAGGCATTTAAGAGTTACCCAGCGCAATCACCGATTGACGAAGCACTTGTAAAGCAGCTACCGCCTTCGAAAAAAAAAAAAAAGCAGCGCACCCGACGAAAACTCTGCGAAATGCGCCGCTCACTACCCGGATGGATGGATGGATGGATATGGCTGTACCCTTTAGATCGGGCGGTGGCTAGCGCCACCAAGCCGTAATACTTAATGAACCAAAAACTATATTTATTTATTTTTCCTTAAAAAGTGAGTTTGAGGATTCGTACTTTGCAGTGAAGAGTTTAATTTTCACTCGTACCTTGACTTTAGCCACCGATCAGATAACCTCCTTCTAGTTACGTCTACTTGCTTAAAGTCTATTTTGCCCTCCCGGTCCCTAAACCCCAGTGCTTTGAAAAACTCTGCCCCATCGTCCTGAACTATAGGGTGAAGCCCTTTACAGAACATTATCAAGTGTTCGGCAGTTTCTTCTTCCTCTCCACACGCACTGCATACTGTGTCTACCCCTTCGTATTTGGCCCGATATGTCTTGGTTCGCAGTACTCCCGTCCTTGCCTCAAACAGTAGAGAACTACCCCGAGTATTATCATAGATCCTTTCCTTGGCAATTTCCTTCTTAAAAGTTCGATAGATCTCTAGTGCGTACTTCTTAATCATGCCCATTTTCCACATGTCAGTCTCCGTTTCCTTCACTTTCTTCTTAACCGATAGTTTTTTTTTTTGGTTTGGCCACCTGCTGTTTTCTAAGTATTTACCAGTCAACTTCCTGGTTCACTTCCTCCATTTTGTATCGACATTCTTCATGTACAAGTAGCTGAAAACCTTCCTAGCCCAACGCTCCTCCTTCATTTCTCTCAATCGCTTCTCAAATTTTATCTTGCTGCTAGCTTCCCTGCCCTCAAATGATGTCCATCCCATATCACCTTGTACTCCCTGATTTGGTGTATTCCCGTGAGCTGCTAAAGCAAGCCTACCTATTCCACGTTGCTTAATTTCTAATCTTGCTTGAACTTCTGATCTCATACACAAAACCGCATCGCCGAACGTCAGCCCAGGAACCATGACCCCTTTCCACATTCCTCTCACAACATCATACCTATTGTAATTCCACAGTGCCCTATTTTTCATCACTGCTGCATTCCTGTTACCTTTAGTCGTCATGTATATTTCGTGTTCCCTCAGGTACTTGGTCCCATTGCTTATCCATGCTCCCTGATATTTGTATTTATCTGTTATCTCTAGCGTGACCTCCTGTATTCTAAGCTCACTACCTTCGTTGTCATTGAAAATCATGACTGCTGATTTTTCCTTACTGAATCTAAAATCTAACCTATCTCCCTCATTACCGCAGATATCCATCAATCTCTGCAAATCTTCCTTGTTGTTGGCTATTAGCACCATATCACCTGCGTACATTAATGTTGGTAGTGCCTGATTAATGAGTTTTCCTTGTTTGAATAAAGAGAGGTTGAAGCCCAGCCCACTTCCCTCTAATTTTGCCTCTAATCCTTGTAGGTACATCATGAATAATAAGGGTGACAGGGGGCGCCCCTGCCTAAGTACCCGTTTTACCTCTGCAGGCTTGGATACCTCTTTTTTCCACTTTATAACTACCTTGTTACCTTTATAGATACCCTTTAAAAGATTAGTGACTACATGTTCCACGCCTAGTGTGTCCAGTATTCCCCATAATTCCTCTTGAACCACGCTATCGTACGCTCCCTTGATATCCAAGAATGCTAGCCACAGGGGCCTGTGTTCCTTTTCTGCTATTTCGATGCACTGCGTCAGTGAGAACAGATTGTCTTCTAACCTCCTGTGTTTCCAAAACCCATTCTGCAGTTTCCCCAGCACCCCCTCATCTCCTATCCATGCCTGCAGTCTTTCCTTTATAATCTGCATCGCCAGCCTGTAGATCACTGATGTCACTGTTATAGGACGGTAGTTGTTTATGTCAGCTTTGTCCCCCTTTCCTTTATAGATCATGCTCACCCTGCTAAGTTTCCATCCATCGGGAACTTCACCATCGATAATTATTTTGCTCACTGCCTCTCTCAAAGCCTGCTTAGACTTTGGACCTAATGTCTTTATCAGTGTAATTGGAATGCCATCTGGGCCTGTTGATGTACTACTAGGAACCCTTTTCTCAGCCCTTTCCCACTCTCATAGTGAAAATGGAGCCATTGTGCCACTTGATTCGTCCTTGTCTATTGTGGTGCATAAAGTACTTCTTTGTTGAAATTTTTCTGTCACCCTTGTTCTTATATATTCAATAGCTTCGTCCCCTTCTAGCCTGGCACCTTGGGCTGTAGTTATAAAACTCTGCTCTAGGCTCGTCTCATTTCTTAGGGAGTTTAGATGGTTCCAAAATTTCGCAGCTGCCTTTCTACCTTTTTTATGTACTTCTGCCAGCCACTGAGCTCTCTTTCTTCTAATCTTTTCATTGATCAGAGGGGATGCAGCCCTCCTACAGCTTAGAAAGGTTTCCCATTTTCTTTCAACATCATCTGTCGTTTCACCCCGCTGCTTAGCATGTCTGTGTTCCCTAGAGACTTCCTGACGTTTTGCTATGGCTCTCTTAACTTCCTCATCCTACCAACTTTTGGGTTTGTGTCTTCTTATCCCGGGTGACTTGTTACGCGTCTTAGCAAGCTCTAGCTCAAAGAGTCTAATGAGATTCGTGTATATCCACACTGTCTTATTATCCTCCGCGATTACTTTCTCAATTTGTTTAGTGACTATTTCAATTTGCCTTTCTGAATAAAAATTTTCCTGTAGTTGCTCATCTTGTCTCCTTCCCACTTTCATCATCATCATCATCATCAGCCTGACTACGTCCACTGCAGGGCAAAGGCCTCTCCCATGTTCCGCCAGTTAACCCGGTCCTGTGCTTGCTGCTGCCAATTTATACCCGCAAACTTCTTAATCTCATCTGCCCACCTAACCTTCTGCCTCCCCCTAACCCGCTTCCCTTCTCTGGGAATCCAGTCAGTTACCCTTAATGACCAGCGGTTATCCTGTCTACGCGCTACATGCCCTGCCCATGTCCATTTCTGCTTCTTGATTTCAGCTATGATATCCTTAACCCCCGTTTGTTCCCTAATCCACTCTGCTCTCTTCTTGTCTCTTAAGGTTACACCTACCATTTTTCTCTCCATTGCTCGCTGCGTCGTCCTCAATTTAAGCTGAACCCTCTTTGTAAGTCTCCAAGTTTCTGCTCCGTAGCTAAGTACCGGCAAGATACAGCTGTTATATACCTTCCTCTTGAGGGATAGTGGCAATCTACCTGTCATAATTTGAGAGTGCTTCCCACTTTCACTGCTCTTCAAAAACTTAGCTTGATATGTTTGTGATCACTACCCAGACTTCTGGAGCCACCACATCTATGTGCATTCCCCTGAGCTTATCATACATCCTATGTGACATCAGTGCATAATCTATCGTCGACTGCAGCCTTCCTACCTCCTATGTTATTTGCCCTTCACACTTCTCGGTACTGTTGCAAATGATCAAATCAAGCCTTTCACACATATCCATGATCATTTTGCCTGTCGGGTGGGTATACGCATCTATATCTTCTATGTGCGCATTCATGTCTCCTAGTATAATTATCTAGCACTCTCTTCCTAACTCCTGAATGTCCTTTGATATACACTCTACCATTGCCTGGTTTTCCTCTCTGGCCTTTGCTCCCGTCCACAAGTACACGAAACCAAGGAGTGTCATTTGACCTGCCACTTTCCCTTTTAGCCATAAATGTTCCTTGCACTCCTGCTTGACCCTTTGCCAGTCTGTACTTTTATGAATGAATGCCCCAATACGACCCCACTTTCTGCTGCCTTCTGTTCTATTACAATATTCCCACGCGTAGTCCGGATTGTTCGGGGGTTGTTCCATGTCCCTGAGATGTGTTTCTACAAAACCGTATACCATCGGCCTCTCTTCCCTTAGCTCTTCTTCTATCTCTTCCCACTTCAGCCTGTTCCTGCCACCCTGCATGTTAATATACCCTATGTCTGAATGGGCTCGGCGCTCGTGGCTACGTCTATTTATGCCCCGGACTCTACCTATCTTAGACATTGGTGCCACTTTGGAATCGTATCTGTCCATAACACCTGTCGAAGAGTCTACCTGGTTGTTTTCCTCGTTACTAGCTATCCTGCACCCCGAAGGGCTCGCTTGCCCCCTCAAAAAAGCTACTGCGCGTCCTGCAAGTCGCCAACCCACCTTATGACCTAGTCGCCCATCGAAGTCCCGCTGCCATCAGCGCTCCTAGCGGCATCGGCGCGCCGAAGGGCCTTCTCCGGCAAGCAAAAAGCGCCGCGCTCATCACAGCTCCGATTCTAGCCACCCTATCGACGCACCGAGAACAATGTTGCCACCGAGGAGTGTGTGAGTGCTGCCAAGAGAGAAGTGGTAAGTGTACTCTGAGATGCCCTTTTTACAAGATGCCTGCGACGCGACTCGCTTTCTAACTGAGGCGAGAGGTCCCTCGTGGATTCGTTTTAGCTCACGTCCCCGGCAGTTTTTTCAAGAATGCATTGCACAGACCGCCGTGCCCAGTAGAAGAGCGACCAGGTGTTCTCTGGAGCAAAAAACCTATCGCCCCAGACATCAACGCTATTGGAATCAACGTGCTGCTGAGTGCAGACGCTCTGCTGACCAGCCTAAGCGCCTACGAGACGTGGTAAAGTGTTATAGGTTTTGTCTGGCCTCCCGGCCTCACCTACGAGACGGTGTGAAAGCGTGCCGCTCTGCGCAGTGTGGAAGTACGCTCCTATGAAAACTCCGTTGTGGACCACGCTATCTAGAGCGCCGCGGAAGTTGTTGGAGGTATGCATGGACACGGCATCGCATGCCACTTTTATCGGCTTAAGATGCGGCACACTGCTTGCGCATTTTTCTAATTTTTTGTCACATCTGATCGTACCGTGCCACGAGGGGGACGCCACGCTTCCCCTAGCTGGGGGGGGGGGGGGGGGAGGCAGCTGCTGCGACTCTCTTCAGTTTTCCCCGTCGAACCTAATACGGGACGCGCATGAGTGCTTATGGGCATGTGTTTCGCTTTAGAATGCTGAGTAGCACGATGCCGACCGGCATCGCACATGTACTGAAGGAAGGCAGACCGTGCGACAGAGGACACAGCTCGTCGGCAAAGCGCAGTTTGGCTTGTAGCTATAATTTGGGGTTGCATAAATTGTTGCCAGACTGCCGTCCAATTTGTCGGGAAAATTTGTTTCTGTATTAGTGACTTTTCCGTGAGGGTTTGGTGTATTCCGCGGTGCATTTCGCGAGTGCATGAGCGACCCTTGCCGAACCCGGCAAGGAACGGTGTCCGTTTTAATTAACGAAATGAACTGTGCCTTGCAGACGCTGGGGCGCGTTCTCTTGCTGTGTGCGATTGAGCCTTGTGGGATTGAAATGAGGGTAGTGGAGGCCAATTGTGTGATCAAGTGTTTGAGCCGACAACCCGGATACAGCGTAATGAAAGTTAACCAAGACGTGTACAAGCCCGGGGATCGCCCCTTTGCACAGGATGGCATTCACTACAGTGGAGCGACGGGCAGGAGGGTCGGTAACAAAATGGGTCGCCAAGCCATAGCTTTTTTAGGGGGACCCAGAGCCCTGAGGCCAACAGTGCAGCCAAAGACCGACCTAAAGGGGCACAAATATTCAAGCCACACGAAGTTCGTGAAAAAAGAAATCGACGTAAGCACAAGGGCCGAGCTAAGTCAGACGTAGGCTATATTAACATGCAGGGTGGCAGTAATAGAATAAAGTGGGAAGAGATAGAAGAGCAGTTGACGCAGGAGTAGCTGATGGTATATGGGGTTGTAAAGACACATCTTCGGGACCTGGAGCAACCACCCTGCAATCCGGGCTACGTATGGGAATATTGCAATAGAACAGAAGGCAGCAAAAAGGGGGGGTGGAGTCGGTGCATTTATACATATGAGCATGGGTTGGCAAAGAGTCAAGCAGGGATGCAAGGAACATTTATGGCTAAAAGGGAAAGTGGCAGGGCAAATGACACACCTTGGTTTCATGTACTTGTGGACGCGAGCAAAGGCCAGAGAGGAAAACCAGGCAATGGTAGAGTGTATATGAAATGACATTCAGGAGTTAAGAGGACAGTGTGAGATAATTATACTAGGAGATATCAATGCATACATAGAAGATATAGGTGGGTATACTGACCAAACAGGCAAAATGATCATGGATATGTGTGAAAGGCATGATTTGATCATTTGCAACAGTACCGAGAAATGTGAAGGGCAAATACTATGAGAGGTAAGAAGGCTGCAGTCAACGATAGATTACACACTGATGTCACATAGTATGTATGATAAGCTCAGGGGAATGCACATAGATGAGGGTGACTCCAGAAGTCTGGGTAGTGATCACAAACGTATCAAGCTAAGTTTTGGAAGAGCAGTGAAAGTGAGAAGAAGACAAGATGAGCAACTACAGTAAAATTTTCATTCAGAAAGGCAAATAGAAATTGCTACTAAACAAATGAGAAAGTAATCACTGAGGTTAATAAAGATGTGTGGACATACACAAATCGAATTAGACTGTTTAGGCTAGAGCTTGCTAAGGCACGTGACAAGCCACCCCGGAAAAGAAGATACAAGCCCAAGAGTTGGTGGCTTGCGGAAGTTAAGAGAGCCATAGCAAAATGTCACAAAGCCTCTAAGAAACACAAACATGCTAAGCAACGGGGTGAACCGACAGATGATGTTGAAAGAAAATGGGAAATATTTCTAAGCTCTAGAAGGGAAGCATCCCTCCTGATCAATGAAAAGATTGGAAGAAAGGGTGCTCAGTAGCTGGTGGAAGTACATAAAAAGGCAGAAAGGCAGCTGCGAAATTTCGGAACCATCTAAACTCCCTAAGTAATGAAACGAACCTAGAGCAGAGGTTTATCATTACAGCTCAAGGTGCTAGGCTAGAAGGGGGTGAAGCTATTGAATATATAAGAACAAGGGTGACAGAAAAATTTCAACAAAGAAGTGCCTTATGCACCACAATAGACAGGGATGGATCAAGTGGCACAATGGCTCCATTTTCACAATGAGAGTGGGAAAGGGACGAGAAGAGGGTTCCAAGTAGTACATCAACAGGCCCAGATGGCATTCCAATTATGCTGATAAAGACACTGGGTCCGAAGTCTAAACAGACTTTTAGAGAGATAAAGTTCAACACTGTCGAAATTCGGGCTTGTTGGTGCATTGTGACAACAGAAAATAGCGCAAAGAAACGGGGACACAAGACGAGGACACACGGCACAGGCGCTAACCAACTTCTTTGGAGCCGAAAAGACAACCCTAACTTCAGAGAGGCAGTGAGCAGAACTATAATCGATGGTGAAATCCACGATTGATGGAAACTTAGCAGGATGAGCATGATTTATGAAGGAAAGGGGGACAAAGATGATATAAACAACTACCGTCCTATAACAGTGACATCAGTGGTCTACAGGCTGGCGATGCAGATTATAAAGGAAAGACTGCAGGAATGGATAGAGGATGAGGGGGTGCTCTGGGAACTGCAGAATGGGTTTCGGAAACACAGGAGGTTGGAAGACAATCTGTTCTCACTGACGCAATGCATCGAAATAGCAGAAAAGGAACTCAGGCCCCTGTGGCTAGCATTTTTGGATATCAAGGGAGCGTATGATAGTGTGGTTCAAGACGACATGTGGGGAATACTAGACACACTGGGTGTGCAAGATGGAGTCACTTATCTTTTAAAGGAAATCTACAAAAGTAACAAGGTAGTTATAAAGTGGGAAAAACAGGTATCCAAGCCCACAGAGGTGAAATGGGGACTTAGGGCAGGGGTGTCCACTGTCACCCTTGTTATTCATGATTTACCTACAAGGATTAGAGGCCAAATTAGAGGGAAGTGGACTTAGCTTCAACCGCTCTTTAGTCAAACAAGGAAAACTCATTGATCAGGCACTACCAGCATTAATGTACGCAGATGATATAATGCTAATGGCAGACAACAAGGAAGATTTGCAGAGATTGATGGACATCTGCGGTAATGAGGGAGATAGGTTAGATTTTAGATTCAGTTAGGAAAAATCAGCAGTTATGATTTTTAATGATAACGAAGGTAGTGAGCTTAGAATACAGGAGGTCATGCTAGAGATAACAGATAAATACAAATATCTGGGCGTATGGATAAGCAATGGGACCGAGTACCTAAAGGAACACGAAATATACGTGACGACTAAAGGTAACAGGAATGCAGCAGTGATGAAAAATAGGGCACTGTGGAATTACAATAGGTATGATGTTGTGAGAGGCATATGGAAAGGGGTCATGGTTCCTGGGCTGACGTTCGGCAATGCGGTCTTGTGCATGAGATCAGAAGTTCAAGCGAGATTAGAAATTAAGCAACGTGGAATAGGTAGGCCTGCTTTAGGAGCTCACTGGAATGCACCAAATCAGGGAGTACAAGAAGATGATATGGGATGGACATCATTTGAGGGCAGGGAAGCTAGCAGCAAGATAAAATTTGAGAAGCGATTGAGAGAAATGGGGGAGGAACGTTGTGCTAGGAAGGTTTTCAGCTACTTGTACATGAAGAATGTTTATACAGAATGGAAGAAGCGAACCAGGAAGTTGACTGGTAAATACTTAGAAAACAGGAGGTGGCCAAACCAAAAAAAACTATCGGTTAAGAAGAAAGTGAAGTAAATGGAGACTGACATATGGAGAATTGGCATGATTAAGAGATCTATCGCACTAGAGATCTATCGAACTTTTAAGCAGGAAATTGCCAGAGAAAGGATCTATGATAATACTCGGGGTAGTTCTCTACTGTTTGAGGCCAGGACGGGAGTATTGCGAACCAAGACATAGCGGGCCAAATACGAAGGGGTAGACACAGTATGCAGTGCGTGTGGAGAGGAAGAAAAAACTGCCAAACACTTGATAATGTTCTGTAAAGGGCTTCACCCTATAGTTCAGGATGATGGCGCAGAGTTTTTCAAAGCACTGGGGTTTAGAGACAGGGAGCGCAAAATAGACATTAAGCGGGTACACTTAAGTAGAAGGAGGTTATCTGATTGGTTGCTAAAGTCAAGGCACGAGTGAAAATAAACCCTTCACTGCAAAGTACCCGTCCAACTTTACTATTTAAAGGAAAAGAAAAGATAAATCTAGTGGTTCACTAAGTATTATGGCTAGGCGGCGTCAGCCGCCACCCGATCTAAAGGGTATAGCCACATTCATCCACCCATCCATCACAGCTGTGCAATTAAGAGATCACGTCTTATTATTAGGGATGACGGGGAAGGCTGAAAAGAGTCGCAGCAGGTGGTGTGTTGCCCCCGACCTTTTTTTTTTTCCCATCTGAGCGTACCGCGCGCCACGATGGTGAGTAACACACGCCATCTTGGCGCGTATTCAGTGAGTAACACATAACAATTCCTCTGCTGTGATGCCAGGTGCGTCTGTTCAAATGGTGTGCCCCCAACGCACCTCTGGTTTTGTTGTGAAGTCGAGTCAGAAGAGCGTGGCAGTGCGTCTACTTTGCGCCGCCGTCATTTTGCAGTTGACTTCAACGAGTTTTAGCAAGATGCACTAACAACACAGGTGAACTCGATGTAATATCCTGCCCTGGCATGAGACGCTACATCTATGCGCAGCGGTGAGTGGACGACACTTCGCTTAAACTGTCAAACATCACTTGTACAGCTCTAGCGTTGCAGTAAATTGAGAGGCCTAGCAGTTTTCAACTTCTTTTACCAAGAAAGGCGCAGCTTCAGTCCTTTGCACCCGTCTCTATACCCACTCTATGCGAAGAACGAAACTGAAACT